ACTTAAAACCATGCTATTAAATGTTGGCCTGTGCACTGATACTCCAGTTGCAACCTGACGAGGACTCTGGGTATCTCCGTAAGTCCGTAAAAGCCGGCAGGAATATGATGATGATGATGACGGCATGATATTTTTATATGATGATGTTAAATGTTCCATTTTGTATTGTTATTATAAACTGTTGCAGGAGTAAGCGTCATAGTTGGAGAATGCTCCAGCTGTGAACCTTACTGAGATTTTCCCCAAAATCTCACCCCCCTTGACCACCCATTTCAGGAAAAGATGAAAGAAAGTAATAAGAAAGTTATGTGGGAAAGAAAGGGTAAGAGACTGGTACGTAAAGAAGAAGAAACTCCACCTACCTGGGAAGAGAAACTAAAGGATCTAACAGATAGAGGCCTATGGACTGAGGCTATGAAATTATTAATAGAAGCTTTTCCACATTATGATTTCGATGAAGCACTAAGTACACAATGGCTAGAGGAACCACAACCACATTATGACTGGGCTTATGATGCGGCATAAATTATGTTTTTATTTATGATTAGTTAATCTTTTTTGGGATTACATTAAATAATGTTTAGTGTTATTTATTTTGTATTGACGTTTTAACGCTTTTAATTTTATATGGAATAAGTATGGTTATGTGTTTCCATTCCGCACTCTGATATTTGCATTCGTAAAGTTTAAATTTAGACTTCCGCGCGTTGAATGCATGATGAAGGTGCACCCTATATGTATTTACATTTGGGGTGTTACATCTCCCATGGTTGAGACGACCCCATTGCAAAACCCAACTGGAACTCCTCATGAGCCCTATCCAGCAGAAGTCCCACGTTTGGATCATCCTGGTACCGCTCCCAGAGTCGGTTCCACGGCAAAACCCGACCGAAATCCCCAAAGGATATCTCCAGCGAAAGTCCAAACCAACACACATTTACTGGCCAGATTTCACAAACAATGCACACAACAGTAATGATGCATGAATATACATTTTCCACACCACATCATACAACACAACATCCAACCATAACCTTCCACTAGGTGTGGTGGAGCACATAAGGGACTAAACCCCAGTTCCAAGGGTTTACCTCAACTCCAAGCACAAGGCTCCAACGTACGCTCCAAGCTCAATCTTCCACTATCGCGTCTGAGAGAGGTAACCTATAATGATCAACAAAATGATCATCAGCACATACAACAATGCATTCAATTTCAAGAATCATACAAATTCACAATTATTTAACCACACAACCTACTAGCCCAATGGCATTACATCATTAATTCACCTATCTCAATCAATTTAATCAACAACCATTCATTCACTAACACCTCAATCATTGATTAAAACCGTCATTTCACATCAATTTTCCTTAAATCCCCTATATGGTTTGAATTTCCCAAGTGAACACCCCACAAGGTTTTCAATTCAATTCAACCCTTATGCTCATCACATAATCCTGTTATTAATCAACACCAACGCTCCATAATTCAATTATCCAATTACTTCACATACCAACTTCATAAAGTCTTGAAAATCCACTCAAAATTTGCCTAAAGTTAAAATTCCCATATCACCATAATTTTACTTCATCCATCATCATCATTTAACAATTCAACACTCATATAATCATATTCTACAACATCTCACTACACAATTTTTACACAACTCATTTCTCCACTTTCATGACACTTACTTTTTTCTAAGTTAAAACTCAACATTTTCACCTAAATTTTCATAGCATTTCTAACTCAAGCAAGTCATTCTAAGACATTCTTAGTAATGCAATTTTTCCATTTGAACCTCCTATCATCACCAATCAACAATTTCAAGAATAGGGTTTATATATTTTGATCTATGAAATCAACCATAAAACTATGTAAATATACTCACAAACGGCTCTAGACACTCTACCAAGGCTTCACCAAGCAACTAGAGGCCCATTGCCTCCATGAACATCCTTTTTCCCCAATTTTCAGATTTTGCCCTAAGCCACAACCCCTCCAACAAGCGATTTCAAGGCTAGAGAGTATCACCAATGGCTTTAGAATAGGTTTTCCAATGAATTTCACTATAAATTTCAAAGGATTTGGCCAAGGGAAGTGATGGTTTGAATGGAAAGCTTGAAAGCCTTCAATGGGGAAAAAGAACGCACGCAAGGAAGGAGAAAGAAGAGAGAGGGATCGTGAGGTTTGTGAGAAAAATGAGGACTTAAGTGGATTTTAGGGTAGGCGGGTCCCACACGCGTTTTAACTTTAATTCAAACATCAATTTCAACTATAATTTCACACTCCACATATTTTTCCGGTTCAAGGCATATTTTTGTTTCCTAACAATGTTGATAAAATTTCACGCTTAACAGTACACTCATACCGCAATATTCTTACAACGAAAAAATCACTATTCATCAAAATTTTCAAAACTTGCCTATCCACTCGATTTTTCGTTCTGAATCCATTACCATTTTTCTCTTCTTATGTATTTTGGTTCTAATTTCCGAATTTTCACTAATCCTACCCTTTTAATCGACATTATCATATAAAAATATATTTCTAGAAGTACGAGGTGTTATATATCGCATACTAACCCTTATGGGCCTCAACCATTACCTCCTCTGCTAACTCTTTGGGCACAACAATCCTGCCCTGATACATTAATAATCCATGTTCATTCAAAGACATCCCACTCTGCGCTTTCAAATACTTGATACTGTAGTTCCGTATATGAGTTTCTCTAATTTTCTTGTGTAACTCATTTTCAACCTGTAACCACTCAACTTCACCCCATGCTACCTGCAAAGAAATCCGTTAATTTCAAATCTCAAAATTGCTCAATCACTTCATTATCCCACATCATCAGTTGAGACACGCTGACAGACTTCCTACTCAAGGAATCTGCTACCACATTAGCTTTACCCGGATGGTATTTCAGTTCAAAATCATAATCTTTTAAGAATTCCACCCATCTCCGTTGTCTCATATTCAACTCTTTCTGATCAAACAAATATTTCAAACTTTTGTGATCACTGAACACAGCAAATTTCATTCCATACAGAAAATGCTTCCAGATTTTTAAGGCAAACAATATAGCAGCAAGTTCCATGTCGTGCGTCGGATAATTTTCCTCATAAGGCTTCAACTGCCTAGAAGCATAAGCAACCACTCTCCATTCTTGCATCAACACACTCCCCAAACCTTTCTTGGATGCATCATAGGACAATACAAACTCACCTTCTGGATCGGGAAGAGTCAACACATGAGCAGTAGTCAATTTCTTTTTAAGAGCCAGAAAACATTTTTCACATTCCTGCGTCCACACAAAAGGAGTATCCTTTCATGTCAATCGGATGAACAGCAATACCATCGTGGAAAACCCCTATATAAATCTACGATAATAACCAGCAAGACCCAGAAAGCTCCTGATCTCAGTTACAGTCTTCGGTCGTTCCCAATCAATTACTGCATCAATTTTGTTTGGATCTACTGCAACACCCCTAGCAGAAATAACATGACCCAGAATTTGCACCTCAGATAACCAAAATTCACACTTAGATGGCTTCGCATACAACTTTTTATCTTTTAATATCTGCAACACAGTCCTCATGCTTCGTATGCTTCTCTTCGCTTTTCAAATAAATTAAAATGTCATCAATGAACACAATTACAAACTGGTCCAAATACGGTTTAAAAATGCGATTCATATAGTCCATGCACACCGCAGGGGCATTAGTAAGCCCAAAAGGAATCACCTGATACTCGTAGTGTCCGTATCTAGAACGGAATGCCATTTTGGGTACATCCTCCGGCTTAATCCGGTTCTTGTGGTATCCGGACCGGAGATCAATCTTGAAAAATACACAGGCACCCCTCAATTGATCCAGCAAATCATCAATACGCGGCAATAGGTACCTGTTCTTAACCGTGACCTTATTCAAGTGCCGGTAGTCAGTACACAATCTCATGCTTCCATCCTTCTTTTTCACAAATATAACCGGTGCTCCCCACGGAGACACACTCGGTCTGATAAAATCCTTTGCAGTTAGCTCCTCAATATGTTTCTTCAACTCAGCCAACTCCAGTGGCGACATCCGGTATGGAGCCAAAGATATAGGCCCCACACCAAGCAATAATTCAATAGAGAACTCAATCTCTCTCTCAGGTGGGAATTCAAGTATCTCATCAGGAAATACATCCACAAATTAATTAACCACCGGAATACTAGAAATCTCTATCTCCTTATCGCCCACCAATCCACCCAAGAAAATATAACCCAGATCACCAGCCTTCAAGGCTTTAATTGTTTGACAGACAGACAGAAAAGGAGACGGACAAACTGAGGGCTTCTCGTGAGATAATATCAACCTCTTGCCACAACAATCAATCATTGTGCAGTTTTGAGACAACCAATCCATACCCAAAATCAAATTAACAGAGGCTAGTGGCAAGATAATCAAATCAATAGTGTAACCCCTGCCATCGTAGATAAACCCAACCTCTTTACAAATAAAGGAGGAATCACTAACCTCTCCTATAACAGTAGTAATACGCATAGGGGAAATCATCCGTGTTACTCTTACCCCAACCCCTTAGCAACATATTTCGCCAGGAACAAATGCGTCACTCCCGAATCAAATAAAACACACAAATCAATATTAGAGATAAAAATTATACCTTTGACCAGATTAGGTGTCTTCTCCGTCTGCTGCGCATTAGTAGTATATACGCGTCCAACCGTAGGAGCAAATGGCAAGGTCTGCAGATTTGTAACCTGTCCAGTATTACTATAACATTCTCTGGCAAAATGCCCAACCTTACCGCACTTGAAACAAGAATTCGGGGCTGCAGTACAAGGACCTCGATGATACCTCTTGCATTTGTCACAATGAGGAGTAGAATTTCTATCATTAAACCGCTCCTCTGACCACTACCCCTCTTGAATTGACCAAGAGGCTGCCTCACCTGCAACCCCCTACCTCTATTATTATTCTGATGATAGCCACCTCTGTTATTACTACCAGAAGCACGAGATGTCCTATTTTCCTGCTCCCTCGAAGAACTAGAATTTGGATACCTGCCATAAACAGTTTCAACCCTCTTACATTGGGTCACAAAATCAGCAAAATTCCTTACAGCAGTATTAGACATTCTCTTTGCTATCTTCTCATTTAATCCCCTCTGGAATTTAGCAGATAAAGACTCAGGAGTCGGCAGCATACCCTTATAGTTTCCAAACTTAACCAACTCATTAAATTTCGCCACATAGACATCAACAGTCATGGTACTCTGTACCAATTTATCAAATTCACCCTGCTTGGCTTCCCGAACATCCCTGAGAAAATACTCTTCATGAAATAGTCTTTCAAATAAAGCCCAAGTTAATTCTTCCCCTTGAATAGTAAACGGGCGAGATGCATTGTACCACCAATCGTAGGCATCCCCCTCAAGCATATAAACAGAATAAAGTAGTCTTTGGAGATCTTGGCATCTCATAACCTGAAATATTTTCTCCATCCTCATCAGCCAGGTAATCACTACCTTCGGGTCCCTTGACCCCTGAAATGCTGGCGGCTTGTGTTTTCTAAAAGATATCAACCTCTGCTCATCAGTACCAGCATATACCTGCCCAGCAACCCCAGAGAACTGAGCTACAACAGTAGGATCCACATAAGGCTCTGGGATATAAGTAGGATCAATAGTGTGGTGACTAGCCTCACCAGAATGACGACTAGCCCCACTCCTCTCCTGATGAGGTGTAACAGATGGTGTACGGGTAAGAGTCACCGTAGCCGTATGTGGAGGAGAATCATTCCTCCTGTGTCGAGTTCTATCTCCCCTCATCTCATTCATGAAGACATGCATCATATCCTGATTATTTTTCATCAGGTTCTCGGTCATGGTTCTATTGGCAGCAGTCTCCTCCTGCAGAGCATTCAGAACTGCAGTAATAGGATCTGGTGCCAAAGGACCTGCACCTCGAGTTCCACGGCAACCTCGAGTTCCACGGCGACCTCGAGCCCTACTCATGATATCTGTACATGTAACACAAATGAATGAGCTGATCAGACCCACACTGATGAATCACATATACATTAATCATAAATATTTCACAGATAGCTATGCAACGCAAAATACAATTCTACATTATCAGAGTTCCCTAACCAAAACTGCTCTGATACCATAAAATGTAACAGCCCACCCCAGTATTGTTAACATTAACTATGATATTAAGCGCAGTTACAATCACAGCAATTCATTTTATAAAAATGCGAGTAAACTTTTTCCGTTTATTACACGAACATTTTAAAACAATAATAAAGCGTAATAATCAAAAGTTGTGAGTGTAACTGTAATACTCTTTGCGGAAGAATTATTTTAATACTCTTATATATCATCTATTACCACTCTTAAGACACTAAGGGGTTCCCATACACCCATTTAGTCTAAATCTCATTCTATCCATGTTTCATACTAAATGCCTTCAACTTTTTATTTACCCGAAGGATTTTATACCTCTCCAATGTTCCTCACTTCTTAATATGTTATAGATTTATTCGTTAGCTTCGCGTGGGTTCAAACCGCGCTCCATTTGGAGTGCTATAGCCCAAGGTATGAATTTTCTAAGAAAAGGGATACTAATTCCACAAGACCCCCGCGCTGACAGCGCCACTATCGCGCCAGAGACAGAGAGGACAGCGCTCACATAATCAGAATGGCGCCTATAGCGCCTTGATCACTGCCTCCTACTGATGGGTGGCGCTAATAGCATGATAATTTACAAATCCTCCAAATGACATATTACAAATTACAAACCATAACCTTCAAATAAAAAAATGATAATAAGGACTAAACATAGACAAAATACATCATGAACAAAATGACAACAACAATCCTAATCATATGCATTGTTCATGACCTAAGTCTAGCCTAGGCCCAATGGCCAACAAAATGCAAAATAGGTAGTCCTACGTCCAAATCATCCTACGGGTTTCTTGCCCGCCGCTCCAACACCACTGCTACCACCTGAAATAAAGTCCACAAAGCGGGGTGAGATATACAAATATATCTAGAAACCCAGAGGTTCTAGAGAATACTCCGCCCAATGGCTCACTTCGATGCATATAAATAACATAACATAACATCTGAAAATGGGATAAAGCAAGGGATTTAGTGAAATAGGGGATCATAGGGATACAAAATACGACGAAACTTGAATGGTCGATGCCAAAACCACACAACGTCCAGCCTATTGGCTCGACATATAAGGCTACCTACGGGTTTCAAACCAAGGTGTGTTCCCATAACATCAACCAAGGCACCCTTCATCCATATCCACCCGAGACTTCCTAGTATGCTCCTATCTAGATCACACACCACGACCCCAGGTCAAATAGAACTCCCTCGCGGAGACCTACCCAGTGGAAGTCTGTAACGCTCGAAGGCAAACAGTCTACTAACCAGAGACACGGTACATCCTATGTACCACCACATGTAACAGACCGTTGTACACCGGTATTGTTAACATTAATTATGATATTAAGCGCAGTTACAATCACATCAATTCATTTATAAAAATGCGAGTAAACTTTTTCCGTTATTACGCGAGTATTTAAAACAATAAAAAGCGTAATAATTAAAAGCTATGGCCGTAACTGTAAAATCTTTGCGGAATACTTATTAAACTACTTTTGTAACTTATTTTACTTATTACAAGTCACTAAGAGGTTCCCATAAACCCACTTAGCATATTTCTCACTTTTACGGTTTCTACCTATCCGAATATGGTTCGGTCATTAATTTTTCGCGGATAAACCGCAATCTAAAAGCCTCCTGTAACATCCCGCATAATTAGGGACTTCTATAAATTATAATTAAGAAGGTGTAGCAAACTTGAAATTCGAATAAAACATAGGTTTAGAGTGGAATTTATTTAAGCCAGGAAATTTATTTGATTTGCATGTACGCGTGAGTGGATATATACATATATACTTTGAGAAATCAAGGCTCTAGTTAAAAGAATAGGATTAATTTAATATAGCCTAGGAAAATTCTAGATAATGCTTAGAAGGACTATGAAATGATAATTAATAAATGTCAGTGAGCAATGCTCATTAAGAGATGATAGTGGGACCCTTTAGTAACCTCTAACCTATCTTAAAGAAAATCTTGATTACTTGTGTAAGTATCCAAAGAAAAATCAAATCAGCCCTTGTACCATCCTATACGCCTAGTAGAAGGCTGGGAAATCAGCATGTATCTGTTTGATTAGATGAAAATAATCACCTTGCATGTAATTCCATTGGTCAATGGCATGTAATCTTATTGATCTATGACAACCCTCATTTATCTTATATATATCTTGTTTCCCCTCCATGTGCGCAAAGGGTAAGAAATAATTCTGATCTCCAGGCATTAGAAGCCAATGCATGTCCTTGAGGTGTCAAGCTCAATCTTTCCAATCTCTTACATGAAGGCCACCTTTCGCCCATGGCATTGCATGAATGCCACTTGTCTCATCTTTGGACACTTGGATGATTTCTCCTACATGTTTCGGCCAACTCCCTCTTGACCAAGGGATTTCATTCTATTAGTCTAAAAGTCTGATCCTCATTTAGTTTCCTCTATGCGTATGAGACATCACCAAAGCCAAACCATCCACACATTCTGAACATAGCTAGCTAATTCCCCATTAAACCATAAGTATAGAAAACCAACTATTGAGACATACTTCCTTTCTTCTCACTAGTCGGCCATGTACCAAGGAGTCAAGAGGTATAGTGTCATATCCACTTCCTTGTTCACCTCCTTCTCTCAACGGTTAATAAAGATCTTCCACTGCATGCAGTTACTTTGAGCCACTCTCCATTCCTTCCCTTGTTTCGGCCGAGACCCCTCAAAGAGGTGTGGTATCCCGTCACTGCTTCTTGTTTCTTTTGCGGATCAGTTCCGAGTCAAAGTTCCATTGAATGTACTTGCTTCAGCTGTGAACGAATCAGCTTTTCCCTTGCGTGCCGTTGGAACCGTCCTCCTGAAGCATCGGAAAGGTGCAGGATTGTCTACTGTTCGAGTGGGGATTCGTTATGCACATATGAGTAGGTAAACAATTTCAAACTCTCCTTCCTTTTTCCCTCACTGTTTTGGCCGTGGCATACATATTGAGAAGAGAAAATTTTGTTTTATCATTCCTACACTTTCTGTCCGGTTAGCATAGGTTTCATAGGAGGATAAATTTCCCAACTTCCCTCATCTGTTTCTGTTGTATGAGTGTCCTAGGAAATCAAACTCTGTTATCACTACCTCTTTGTTTCTGCTCACTGTACAACTTTGATATTAAGGCATACAAGTCTAAAAAAAAAATGAATTATGAACTTGTAAGAGAGCATTTTCGTGCCTTAGGACCGTTTCTTTGGACCAGAATGGTAATATAGACTTGCATGTGATAAATCTGTATGGACCGTAGGTTTAAAGGCCTCCTTCTCACACCCTAGCCTTGAAGAGAAAAATATGTAATTGAAAATGTTTAAGTCACTAGTTAATAACATCAAAAACCGAATATGAATGCTAATGGAACTTTAGATTCTTCGTTGATTATAATGGAATAAATTCTGTTTTGGGGAACCTTGATATGTACTAAGTCCTATATAGATTAAATAAACAGCATGATATATAGGCTTTCTTTTGCGCACCATAGGAGTGGGAAGTAGAAATTGTATGATTGAAACCTTGAGAATTTTTTGTATGTAAAACCGATGCTGTTTGGGATTGGAAATCTTAGAATTATTCGCTGTTACGCGTCTGAAAAAAATTATTATGGAATCCGAATATGGTTAGGAACAGCATCCTAAAAACCGATTAGGAATTTAAGGAAAAATGGGCTAAAAACATATGCTGTATGTAGGAAATTTGTGACGTACGATTCTGACTTGAAACCTTGTTGCTTAGGTGCGCATAACTCGTGAATAGGGATTACTTCGCTGCTGTTTGATAAATTGTTGTGGCACGCAAGGTATGTGTAGGCGGTATTACTCAATGTGACTATTGGCTAGTGTATGGAATTGTGATGTGTTGCTCACATTTGTTCTATGTATGTTATGATGATGATGAGCCAATGGTAAGAATATGAAAGAATGATATGATATATGCATGCATTTTACATCATAATGCATTTTTCTGTTGGGTGCGATTGCATAACATGGCATGTATACTTGATTCGTGACATATTGAATATATATATTTGTATTGAGGACATGTGACTGAGCATGCATCATATAGGCATGCCTGGTACCAGGAGAGGGGACACTTGGCTTCAGTCCGCATAGGTTCCACAGTGGGATTCACCTTCATGGGAGCCATTAGGAATACCCACTGTGATGCTACGCGCACGACGGTGCTATGAGCGTAAAGGAAAAAGGGCGTTATATAAGCGTTATGATATATGATGAAAAGGATTAAATGTTTGAAGTGACTATTTATGATTTTGTGCCTAGTTAATACTGTTGCATTTGGTTTTGTTGCCACACTACTGGGTTTATTCTCACCCCTTTGGGGCTGCAATTTTTAAATTGCAGGAGGACGTAAAAGCATTTGAGGACTTGAATGTTGAACTCTGTTATATTTTTGCTGCTGTCTGGATTTATTCACTGTTGACTGTTTTAAGCTTGGGATGATTGTATTATGTGGTACTTGATGATTTTTGGATGACTGTAAAACTATGACTTATTTCTGCTTTAAGTCTTTTTATGAACAGCGGCTGCTTTAAGAAATCTGAAATGTTTTGCGAAAAGGGACTTTCTTAACGTTTATCAAATGCTGAATTTTTAACGATTTACGGACAACTTACGAGTTATGTTTCGAGGGGCAAATGAACTCCGATTTACTATTATTTTATATGCACGCGAAGCCCCAAGTGTCTACTTTCAGATTCTGGAACACGTACAAAAATATTTTGAAAACTCGATTTGATATTGATTTTGTACACGAACTGTTTTTGGGAAAATTCCAACTTTGCAAACAGCAAGGTTTTTACA